TATCTTGGAAGCGTAAGGACTTTGTTGAGGAATTATTGTAGTAGTGCTTCTTGCAGACTTGAAATTATAATGCCCAAGATGCTTTGCTTCAGAACAGAGCAGCTTCTTTTGACAAGATTGTGGCCCATATTATCATTATTATTGTTGTTGTTGTTGTTATTATTATTATTAAAAAAAAAACTAACTGTCTTTAGTTGTTAACCAAAGTCCCTAAAGAGCCTGTGCTAACTCTCAAAGAGAAAATCTTCTGAGGCTTCTGTGGTATGACATGACTTAGAGTAACTTGGTATCTGATCCTTCTGTTGTTCCCTTTCTGATGGACTCGCGTTTCCTCTTCATTATCCTTAGGTGCTACCAGTAGGTTCTGAACTTCCAGCTGGCACTCCGTCCAGTGAGCCGCTGCCACCTTTTCCAGGACCTTCACTAACTCAGGTGCTACACAACTCGGCAGATCTTATCTGCTTCTCTTCCTTTTCCTTTCAAAGAGCATGTTTCAATTAAACTCTCCATTGCATGTTATTAATGTCTTTGGTTTTTCTTTTCTTTTGACTGAATAACCCCTTTTTTACAATTGTAGCAGTGACCAAAGTCCCTTCAGAACTGGAGATGTAGCTTCCCCTTTGGGTCACTGTACCTGGTTCCTAAGTACATGAACAATAAATCAGGCCTATTTTTTCTTTTTTCTTTTAATGAATTAACTTGAAATTGAGAGGTTTTTAAAACACATAATACAGGTGAGTGCGTGTGTAAAACTTGGACCTGCTTTCTTCCTGCAATTAAAGATTATAATAGCAAAATAATAGCTCCTTAGGAAAGCACTATATCCTGCAATTAAACGTTCATAAAAACACAAGATTGCTGGCTGTGAGAATTGCAGCGTTATTTTTTTTCAATTACTAGACTCACATTTTATAGTCTTTCAGCTTGTGCTAAAGTACATTTGCAGGGTACTTTGCAAAGATCAGAAGATCCTGATTTAAAACAGGAGTTGAAGCTAACAGTGGCTTAAACTTGCTCAGTTTCTATTCCTACATGCAGTAGCTAACGTGGTGTTTTATATGTAAACTGAAAAGAAAGAGGGGGCAAAAATATAAGAAAAAGATAAATCGTATTTTAGAACTGTATTCTTTTAAAGTATCTTTTAAATGCTGTGCAATGAACTGTAACATGGGAATGCTGTACTTCAATATGCAAAGAAAAGTTGAAAAAAATAACCAAACAAAAGCCCTGAGATCCTGAGGCAGGGATCTGCTGTTTCTGAAAGAAAGAATCATTTGGCAAATAGGTGCAAGGAAGACTATTTACAGAAATGAAGTCAAGCACACTTTACACATAAACATTATGCCAATTTTTGTATTCAAACCGGTAAAGAAGTTGCATTTCAAGTGGATGTCTACTGATGCATACTTAAGACTTAGAATGTTTTTGTCTTAAATCTAGTGTTTTCTGTGTACATGTAACTTTTTAAAGTATTGACCTATTCCATCTGTGGTTTGGGCCATAGGGAGTAGCCTTAGAGTGCATGCTCAAAATCTGCACTTGAATTGGAATCAGTCGCTTTAAAGAAAGGAATTACTACCATGTCTTAACTATGATCTTAAAGTATAAAATTTATGCCATATGTATTAGCAGAGTGACCTGATTCTTTTTTTTCTTTTGCTTTGTTTTTTTTTTTTCCTTGACCACCAAATATTTTAATGGAGACAGAATAACCTTGACAGAGTTCTGTTTTTTGACATCCTGATAATGATCTACTAGGTTATCTCTTAAAGTGTAGATCCTGAATTCAAGTTTCACCTGTAGAAGTGAATTTAAAAAATAATTTAAAAATCTCTGAAGTTTTGCAGACTTCATTTTTTGCTATTTACAATGGCATGATGTGAAAACTTTCCTGTGTGAAAGCCTTTAAATTAACTGTAATACAAAGGAATAATTTTAGAAGATTGTAGCTAATTTCAGCTGTGCTGAGACAACTTGGTTTAAAGAGCTGTCCTGGGTCACATTATGCTGCAGCTGTAGAAACTCAGCTACGTGGAATAGGGTGATAATCTTCAAAGATACCATTTGAATAGAATTTCATTCTTCTCTTTGAAATGTGAGGAACATCATGACCTGGTTCCAGAGACATAAGCAGAATTGAGCAGCAGGCAACGTATAGCTGCTTTCTTGTGTTTTTTTTTTTTTTATGTTGATTACGACAAGAATAGTCACTTCTTAAGCTTTCTAGTATTTTTTTTCTCTCAGTTGCAGTAAGCAGAAGCTGTCTCTGTAGAAGCTCTGTATTTATTCAGCAGTTGCTCTGGTTTTCCTAGTAAATGTCATTAAAAGAGATCTTAAAACATCACAAAATATCACAAAATAGACAAATTTGTGTAGTGTACATCCTAGATGTCAGAAGAGAAGCAGTCTAGTAGTCCTGAACTGTAATGTGCTGCATGGGGGCCTCACCCTGTGTGTTCCTGCTGCCCAGGAACCACCTTGGTCCTCACTTGGGGATGCAAATGCAATCAGTGATGATGGCCACCATGAATCCTGCAAGTGGCCTCTATGCTCCCCTCCTTCTTTTTTTTTTTTTTCCATGAAAGCTTGTTTCAACATTTTGAGAGTGAGTATCAGTCTATCATTTGAAGAAAGTATTATTTAATGCTAAAAGGCACGGATTTATGCTTTTTATGTAAGAAAAAAGACGAATGTGAATTTATTGCTTTTGGAACTGTCACGGAAAAGAGAATGCAGCATTACGTGGTTTCACATGACTTCTTGCTAGCAGTTTGAATAAAAGCCATATAGTCTTCTGTGAGTAAATAGGAATTGGTTCTCTCCTGCCTCTAAACTGTGCAGAAAGCAGATTACCCTGTGATGGAGCCATGGAGTGGTGGTGTTAGCAAGCAGCTTCCTTGTGTGTTTTGTTTTTTCTTCAGCTCCTGGAGATGAAAGCTGCTTCAGGCCTTTCAGCCAGTTCTTTTCCTATCAATATTCTGTTAAAAGAAAGCAAAAACAATTTAGTGGTTATCCTTAACTGTGTTCTCAGCAACACACAGATAGAGCAAAGGGATCTGGAAGTAACTGGTTAAAGCCAGTCCCTTAAGTGTGTGACACTTTTTTTTAGTTATTGCTTTGAACTCGGCATCTTAGTATTTTTTTTTTTCCAAAACTTAAAGGTTTTGTAGCCACATGGATAACTTGAGCACTGCAGAAAGCATCTTCCTGTTTATTATAGCCCCTCCTAGGAGGATCTGTCATATGGAAGATACTTGTCCTCTGCAAACAGCTTTCACCTCCCATTTGAATTTGGAGACCGTAATCTGGGAGCGTGAGACAAAATAGGAAGAGATCAACCAGATGAAAACTAATCCACTCCTAAGAGCATTTGTTCCTATCACATACATGCTGTCGGGAAAATTGTTGATTTGTCTTAAAAATAGACAAGCTTGCCTTCATTATTATTCCTGTCCGTAGATGACTACACAAACGTTTCTCCTAATTTGCAGACAAAATGCAGAATATCTCAAGACTCATTTACGTCACACTGTTCCTCAATCTTAAATACATGTCTTCTGTCTACCCCATAATTTGTCTTTAAAGTCTATTTAGATTATTATATTATTTTCCCAGCTTCTTTTTTGCTGCCCTTCTTCCATTAGGGAATCCTTATACTCTGACCATTCTATATCAGATCCTTCATTTGGTAATTTGGATTAAATCTCTTTTTGTAAGCATGAGTGATGAAAACTTGTACAGTATTCTGAATGAAATCTCTTCATGATTTTACATTTACATGATTACATGATTTATATATTGAAATTTCTTCAATTTACATAATTTTACATTATATGAATTACCTTAGTCCACTTACCTGGTAGAGATTTTGATTCCTGGACAGAGTCCTGCAGAAGACTGTATCTCTCTCTCTTTTTTTTTTTTTTTACTGTATGGAGTCGAAATTCCCACTTAATGACATCTGCCAGTGCTCATTTTCTTTCATACTTTAATTATGGTTTTGGCCCTAATTCACTTTTTCTTTTTTTTTTTTTTAGTGCATCCAAGCTTTTCTTATATTCAAGATGATTTTAGATATCCCTCTCCCCATGTTCTCTACTTTCCCTTCCTCCCCTAGTAATATGGCCAAATTTGAGTGTTTTTAAATGATGGCTCAAATTGGAATGATGAGCTAGGAGACCATCATTTTTTGAATAATGACTCAAACAGCTGAAAACTAAGTAACAATTCTACTTGAGACAGACTCTGCCCTTACTCCCATCTTCCTCTTAAAGTCATTCCATCCAGCTAGGATCTTTGAGGCAACTTTCTGACTGGAAAATAAGAAAAAAAACAAATTTTTTTAAAAATCTCTTTTAGCTGCAGTTCGAAGATGTTGGTTTTTGAAATATTGTGTTTGAAATCTTTTAAGAGCTTGTTTGCTTACTGTTATTTTTAATTTCTTACTTCAAGAGTGTGCATAAACCATAGCACAAACTCCTCCTAACCACCTCCTTACGGATCAGGAACTGTAGAACTTGTAATGTGTTTACACAGTTCCCCAGAGTAGGAATGCAAACGTCCAACTTGAGGAATAATAGAAGTACCAGTTAATGCTTCTTTTCTATTTTTAATAAATACGTTACTTAAATTGCTTCCAGTCTTGTTTTGCTATGCCTGTTTAAGTTAATCATGTAGGAGCTGAAAGTGATAGAAATTCCGAAGCTGTACTGACTGCTTTAGGTTTTAATGCTAAATGTGGCTGCGTTTTCTGGAATGCAGCATGTGTGTTTCTCTTGGGCTGGAGCAGCTGTTTACTCTTTCCTTTCTCATCAGTCCCAGCAGCCACTGGAAGATCTGGATGCCAAGCTGAGAAGAACCCTTAGTCCGGAGACTGTCCCAGTGACGTCTGCTCCTGCCTGTGTAAGTGGGCAAAGCTGGCAACTAGTAGTCTGGAATAACTTCCATGTTTTCCTGAGTTTGTGCTCTAAGGTCGCTGTCTTTAATATAACTGTGCTGGTTTTTAAAATAAAAGTGCTCAGTATTCTGCTCTTTGATTCAACTGTGCAAATGTAGACTGAAGTGTGACCTTTGCTGTGTGGGTTTGAGGCAACCAGATGTGAGGCTTGACTGGGAAAAATATATAGGTTGCAATACATTCTGTATTCCTCAAGGCTGATTTTGGTATTAATTCTTAATACAGCTTTTTCTGGTGAGGTCATATCAAACTAGCAGGGGGACTAACTATGGAATAAGGGGAAAAAGAATAAGTGAGCAGTATATCAGTCTTAATTTGGGAGAGGTGTTTGAAGTGTGGATCAGAACTTTTAAAAATGTTATAGTAAAAGTTCTGTAGAAAACAGGATAATGATAATGAACATTGATCTACAAATGACTACTTAGGAGTTACCTCTGCAGAATGAAAAATGAAGGTTCTGCTGGCAGTCTCAGGTCAGGCGTGCAAAATCCGTTCCTTATGTTGTTTGCTTCAGAGATTAAAAAAAAATCTTTTGTGTTATTCTCATCAAGGATTGTTCCTTAGTCTTGAGGAAAGATCCTGTATTATGCAATGTGATAGATACATTTCGATCATACTAATTTTCTTTTTTTTTCCTTGACCTTAGTCTGTGCCCTCAGTAGCATCCACAACGGTTACCGGGCTGGTGTCCACAGCAGCACAGTCTCCGAAAGATGGTAAACTGCTTTTCTGTTTCTGATGGTTCCTCAGCATGGAGATATCACACCAAATTGTATGGACTAGCAAGCTGGAAGGATATGAAATTTGTAATGAGTTGGAAAATGTCCTTTAAAAAAAAAAAATAATAATATATTTTTAATATGTGTACTGTTTTTTAATAACCAGACTGAAATTTTCCACTGTAGGCAAGGAGATGGGAATGATATATATATATATGTTATAATAATTCATCTAGGATTTTAAACCATCCAAAATGTTAAATTATAACCTGCAAAGAATCTTTAGTCTGCTGCTACGGTACAGCTTCAGGATGTGAAGAAACTGTTTTCTGTCTTGTGCTATATTTTGGGCAACAGGAATAAGGCCTTTTATTTTGTGCCTTTATGCTGTGTCCTATTTATAGGTTCTCTCTTTCAAATCAAGGGTGTTTCCTTTCTATTGTAGAGAAATGAAAATTAAACAATTAAAAACAATAAAGGTAGCAGGAAAAAGACTGTGTTCTGGCTTCTGAAGAACAATGGAGGTTTGAGTGGATGATTAACAAATGAAGTTTGAATGTTGAAAGTTTTGCTCATTTTCATTTAGTATTCTTTTTCCAGAGGCTGTCAATGTAGTACTAAAATTATTTCTAAGCTAGTTAGTAAACAATATTTGAGAACTTGCATGTGCTTGACATTCAATGTCAAACCTTGACAAGTGAACAAAACCAATAGGAAAATAGTGTAGTTGTGCTTTGGTGTGCTAGTAGTAAATCGAACCACAAAACTCTATCTGTTGTGAGAAAATGAGGTGTGTTTTGCCTGCTGAAGTTTAGATGATAAAAGTAAATGAACAGGGAGGTAGCTTAATAAACATAGCAAGTTGTCCAGTACAACTGGTTTAAAAATAGAATGCTATTTCTCAGCTTTGTGACATTGTACCACCAGAGTATATAGCAGTAAAATTTGGAGCTGACATCCAAGAATTCAGCTCTTTTTTTGGAAAAAAAAAAGTGGTTAATACCTTGTCTTTTCTGTTAATACATAGTCTTTGGCATTTGTGAAATCCAGCTAATGACTGTGGGTACTGACTTAAAATAAAAAATGAAGAAAACCCCCGCTACCAGCACCTTCTAGCATAAATTTTTATTCTGTTTTTTTTTTTTTGGTTCTTTGTCTACTGTACTTTGCATGAAAATATTATAGAATAATATTTCACTTTAATACTGCAGTTTTATTTTCTAAATGGTAAAGCTGAGAAATAAGACCAGACTGAATGAATCTAAAAGCCTGCTTAGCAGTAACTGATAAGTATGGGCTAGATAAAAAGGTTAAAATTCAGATAATTTGTTTCTAATTTTCTTCTGCATCCTATTCTCTTCTTTTATAGCTTCAGCATCATGTGGTGGAGAGAGCAGTGCTATGGCTGCCACAGGAGGAGCTGGTATTCTTAAAATGGGACGTTTTCAGGTAGGAAATGTTAAACTGATCTGGTCATTGATCCAGAATCCTTGCTGAGCAGTTACTGCCTATTGCCAACTCAGTTTGTCTCTTGGTAGTCTTTTTTGTCAAGGGAAAACGTTTATATTGAGCTTGTGAATACACTGTTTTGCTCAGACACTGTCCTCTTTCAGGGCAAAGTTTGCACTAGATTATGCAGGTCTAGCCTGTGAAGACAGCACTTCATCATGTCAGGCCTTAGCTGTGTTACTGTTGGCCTTGGTGTTTAATGTTTGCTGGATTTTGGTTGGGTTAGTGCTGGGATATTCACTTTATGTCCTGTCTGTGAGGGAATATTCTGTTTCTTGGAGTTAAGCCATCCAGATTACCTAGAACTGCTGCTGTTGTGTGGTGGCGTGGTTCTTGGAGGGTGGAAGCTACTTTCCATGCGGGATTGCAAAGAAACTAGTTATTTTCCCCTGTCAGGTACTTCTTCCTTTCAGGAGGTAAATCCGAGCACTTTGTATCAAAGAACTCAGAGTCCTCTTGATGTGCGATTCTCTCCTAGGTCTCAGTGGCAGTAGATGATGTGCTAAAAGAGAGTGACAAACCCGAGACAAAGCCAGTGCAATTTGAAACCACCTCCGAATCTTCATCTCTTTCTGGCAGCAGCCCAGAGAGCACCCTGGTAAAGCAGGCTGGCGGTCGGAAAAGCGAGGCTGTGGCTGTCTCATCCTTGGATGTAGATGGTATTCCTTGCCCAGTTCCTGTGGTGCAATTGCCAGCAGATGTTGGCCAGCCCACTAAGGTCGGGCGCTTCCAGGTGACAACAACAACGGATCAAGTGGGGCGCTTTTCGGTGTCCAAGACTCAGGATGAGGTCACGCGCGCGGAGAAAGAGCCAGTGACTCTTCCTCTCTCTGTGGACTTGGAACAAGTTGCAGCTGCAGCTGCTCCGAAGGAGCCGGAGGCCGGGCAGTCCCCGCACATGAACGGGCCGTCCTCGGAGCTGGAGGCCGCCTTCCTGAGCGGCGTGGCCAAGGAGCTGGATGACGGCTCGGCGAGCCCGGACTCCCTGCAGCACCTGGGCTCAAAGATCAGCCTCCCTGTCCAGAGCCTCAGCAACTCGTTCAACTCCTCTTACATGAGCAGCGACAATGAGTCGGATATCGAAGATGAGGACTTGAAATTGGAACTCCGTCGGTTACGGGAGAAGTAAGACTTTTGTCTTCTCTGTTTTTCCCCCTTTTTTCCCTTTTTAGGATAAAAAAAAAAAGGCTGTCAGGTGTGCAATGTACATAACATGGACTACACAAACTTCTTTTCATTTCATCTAGACTCTACATTTTATTTAAAAAAGAAAGAGTGCTTTAAAAGATTAAATATTTTGCTAAATGTCAGGACTGATTGTCAGTGTTTGCATGGTAAGAAAGATACTTCAGAGGTAAAGAAGTACATAATTATTCCAGAAATCCATATGCGCACTTGCTAAGCTTACTTTTCTAATCCGTAGTCTTTCTCTGTATGCTCATGTCACGCTATGGATGAGGCTATGTAGATTTGTAGTTCCTGCATATCATTGAACTTTAGTAGCTATTGGAAATACTGATGTCTTATTTTAAGTGACAGACAGCCCTGCATTTCTAATGTGCACTTCTGTCATTTCCAATATTTCTCTCCTCCTCGAGAATCCCTGTTAGTTTAGAAAAAAAAGCCTAAAAGTCGAGCAATGCGACCTATTGACTTGTTCATGTTGGAATTTTTTTTTAATAGCAGCAGGTAATTTCATACTGTGTGCGTATAACAGCTCTGAGAAGTCGATGCAATAGTAACATGGAAGTCTCCTAGGCCATAGCTCTCAGAAAATGAATAATTAGTTAGTCCTGCAGCACTTGTATGAGATCTGTTGAATGGTCAGGCCTTCTGTAATAGATGCATGTTCCTCTCTGTACTTCAGTTTGTCCTGGCTTTATAAGTACAGCACTAGGAACTTTGTATTGGAATTCTGGCCACATTAGACTGCAGTGGGGAATGTGAACATGGAAGTGTTCTGCCACATGCGTTCAGCGGATATTTGGGCTCAATATGCAAGTTGTCCTGTCTTGCCTGTTAGTGGGAGTTTGGCCACTGGTTTTTGATGGGGGGGTGGAGACGGAGGATTGTGTGTGTGTATATATATATATACAAATATATATGTTTTTCTATAATTTATACATTCAGTGTTTTTTAAGTATTTTTCTTCTGTGACTTTTTAGGCACCTTAAAGAGATCCAGGAGCTGCAGAGCCGCCAGAAGCAGGAGATTGAGTCGCTGTACACGAAGCTGGGGAAGGTCCCCCCTGCAGTAATAATCCCCCCCGCTGCACCGCTCTCGGGAAGGAGGAGACGACCCACTAAAGGAAAGAGCAGCAAATCCAGTCGTAGCAGCTCCCAGGGAAATAAGAGCCCTCAGCTATCGGGTAAGACTTTCTCCAAGTCTTTTGAGTGTCCCTGTGACTTTTACTGTAGATAGCACAATGTTGGTTCTGTCTCATGCTGAGCTCTTTAAGTTATCTTTAGAGAGAGAGGTTTAAAAACTTTCAAATGGCTTTTGCTAGCTTGTAGACAGCAACATCAATGTATTAAAGTTGTGGATTTTATTTTGTAAAGACTAGTCACAGGGCTCTGATTAAGAGGTAAGGGGAATATCCTTTCCAGAAAGAAAGTATAAAATTAGAGCACAGGGAATAAAACTTTGCTTTTTGGATAAGCTTTGCTTGTTCCCTCCTGGATCTGATTTTGCAGAATGGAGCTGTCTCTCTACTTCCATTCAGAGATACGGTTTTTTTTCTCTCTCTACTACTACTACTACTTGAACGTAGTACTGCTAGTATTCTTATACTCCAGAAGTTAAAAAAAAATAGCTGATAGATGTTAAAATAGTGAATTTCTATGGAGTAATGTTTTTGTATTTATATTTCACAAACTGAATGAGGAAAAAGTTTCAATAGAAAAGGATCACTGGCATAATAGCTCAAATAAGCATTTTAGTTATTGATAGTGACTTCACTCCCCACTAAGTGTTCATGTCCGGCTTTTCCCTGTTCCTTCTCCTATCCACTGGGAACAGCGACAAAAGCGTTGAAAATGGTTTAGGAAAGCTGAAGCGTTCAACGCCTTTCTTGATTCTTCCTGCAGGCAACTTGTCAGCCCAGAGCGCGCCGTCGGTCTTGCCCCCTCAGCAGACTCTCCATCCTCCCGGGAGCGGGCCAGAGACGGGCCAGAACCATTTGTTACAGCCCCTCAAACCGTCACCTTCCAGCGAGAACCTCTACTCTGCCTTCACCAGTGACGGTGCCCTCTCGGTACCAAGCCTTTCTGCACCAGGCCAAGGTAAGACTTGAGCTGGAATTAGTGCCAAGCTTTGCGCCAGGGTTATTTCCGAGGAATGCTCAACTGATGATGATTAATACAGACTGTAAACTAGATTGGGCGTTTGACCTGTGTTCGGGGATTAAAAAGAATGATTTTTTGCAACTAGATTTCTAGGTTCCTGCATAAGTGAAGTGAGTTGGAGCTTTTGCTGAAGTGATGCGTACATAGTGTATGAACCCCTCTCTAATGAAAGCACTTAGGAGAACACCCTTGTAGCAGCAGTATTCTTCTGACTGGAAGAAAGGCATTAACTAAATGCTGAAAGGACGAAGCGACAGATGAGAATGGGAAGGCAAATGTCAAGTGAGATTTAAGGAAGGGGAAGAGCAGCTTTTGTGTAAACAGATAATTGCAATGGAAGGAGATTTCAGAAGATGCTGAAAGTCCTTAAGATTCAAAACTGCTTTGGCTCTTTCTGTCAGTGGAGATTTCTAGTAATCAGAGGTAAGAGAGTCATGTTCTGCAATTGTGCATTCAAGAGTCATCTGGAAGGAAGAGGATGGAATGGTAGGAAAATTTGCTCATCTTGCTCAAGTCATGGATTACTTGTAATATGTTACTGTATTATTAAATAATTTCTCAAAAACTTATCTCTGATTTATTTTGAAGGGAAGGTTTTTCTGCCAGTCATTGAGGAAGTTATAGGTTATGATTCTTTCACTACTTTGAATTTAGTTGTTCCAGTTTTTGTCCTTTAACAACGTTTTGCAAAGTTTTTCTATTGAATTGATCAAATTTATTAAGTGGTTTTGCTAGAACTGGAGAAATAGAAGCAGAAAATGGAAAAAGGCTTTTGGAATGAAATTTTTGTAGTGATTCTTTTTTTTTTATGAACTATTTCAAGTACAGTGGAGCTACTTGTGCCCCTCTGCACTTAGACTTGCGCAGTAGCTTTTCTAATTGGACACTTCTGCCAGGATTTGGCTTTCCTGTGGGCAGCAACCTTACAGCTGGGTTATATGCCAGAGATGAGCACAGCAAACTTGCCCTAATGCCTGGACATACTGGAAGGAGTCTCTTTGCTCCATATATTGTGTCTACATACTCCTTGGCCCACTCTGAGGCTTGTTCTTGTGTGCCATGTTAATGCATTTCACCCCTCCAGCCCCGAGTTGCTAACATCCTGTAGTGGTGTTCTGTCTCTTCTCCTCTCCTTTCTCTGTTCTTCCCGTTTTGTTTTCTCACAGGCTGTGCGAAGTTTAACTGTGCGTCTGAGAGAGTGACCTTCAAGCCTGGTGGCAGGAGGACCCGATTTCTGAGTACGCCCTGCTTGGCTCTTTGTGTGTAACACCTTTACTCCTTCCTTGTCTGTTTTTTGTTCTGTCTTTCTTTTTGTTGTTGTTTTTTTTTCTGCTGCTTGGATCTGACTGTTTCATGCAGCCCATTCTCATCTACCACTCCCTCCCATCGCAATCCCATGGCTCGGCTGAGCTGCTCTTGCCTCTTGCACCTGTAGAAGTTTGGGTTCTCGTGTTAGGTGCTCTCTGTTAATAAACTCCTAGTGACAAACACCAACTTCTGCAAGCCTTGGGTGGAAACCTGTGTGGCTGGTTCAGTGAAATGGCAGAGCCTGGGGAGAGGTTGCAAGATGTGGGTCCAGGGCCCTTTGCTTTTAACCTGCCTAGTAACTACGCTTCAGCATGAGACTTGGAAGGGAACAACGAGGAAGGTTTGTGTTTCCCAAATTATTATTTCACTGGGGCGATGTTATTATAACTGATAGGGGAAAGTTTTACCTTCCCCAGTAGCAAAACTACTGTGCAAGCAGGGTGAACTTTGTCATGTTGTCGCCACAAGAGCTGACTGCAATACAGAGCATCGATGCCACCTGTAGGCAGTTAAAACTGACCTAGGTTTATTAGCAGAAAGATAATAAAAGATCAAAGTGCTGAGGAGTATAAGCACATCTGTAAAATGTTTTCAAGAAGACTCAAGAGATCTTTAGTTACTAATGGGCCCAAGTTTAGAAATTCCGCCTGAGATTAGGAGACAGACAAAATAATCCACCAAAAGCTGTGAAGATGGGAAAAGAGATTTTTTTCGAACATCCTGTCACCCCACACAAGTTACCTTCCAGACGCTTTTAAAATTCTTTCACTTGCACTTACATTGGGCCAGATTAAAAAGAGAGCCTCAAACTTCTGATGCGGTTGTGTGGAGTACCGGTGCGCTTGAGCTGGGGCTGCTGCTGCGCTGCTTTGTGTGGGGAGAGCCGCCGCCTCTCCCGTGCTGCTGGCTGGGCCCTCTGAACGTCCGACACTTATTTTCACCCTCTGGAATGGCGTGGGAGTTGGAAAGCTCTAAGTGCTGTCAAGGGGCCTGGGACTGCTGCGCTGCCCTGGCTGCGCAGGCCGCATTTCAGCTGAGCCAGAGACACGCGCAGCGACTCGCCCTGCTCTGCTGCAGGGGCAGCTGCAATGCAGCCAGCGCCGTGCGCAGGGAGGGAGGGAGGGAGGGCACGGCCTGGCACGGGCGTTTGGCAGCGATGCCTCGGGCTGAGCTCACTGGCTTTGGGGGTGTAAATCCTAATGGGGATGTAATTGTCCTCTGGGCCTTCAAAGCAGGTATCCTTAGCTGGTTTTAGCTGAAGGAGGAATATGCGCTAATCGCCATTTGCGATTCAAAGATTTATGGCATCTTTCTTGGAAGAAGTTAAATTCTTACCAAAGCTAACTTTTAATAATTATCTCTAGTCTGGCCCGTGCCTTTTTGGGGTGGGAGTATAAAGAACAGTCATTCCATTTCTGGAACTGGCAACCAGCTGAAAACTATGAGCGTGCACCATGCACTTATAAGGCCTTGCCTGGCTGCAAATTGCACATCATCTGGTTGCAGAAGGAATCCTTTGGCATGTGTACCTCGTGCTCATGGGGTTGGTGATAAGCGGAGGGGATTCCTTTGGCCAAGCTCCTTGTAGCTGTCCCGGGAAGGCAGAGGCTCGGCCGGGCGCTCGGCTCGCGCAGGCCGTGCGCTTCCCGCAGCCCCTCGCGGGGAGCGACGACGGGAGAAGATGCTCGTGTGGAGTCAGCAGCATCGGGAAACAGTGCAGTAACGGATGCTGTTAACTGTGCGGCTGGAGAAACAGAGCGGCACAGCCCGGCAGGGAGAAGCCGAGTGGCTCCTCTGCTCCGGGAGGGCTGGGCAACAGGCGGGAGCAAGCTGCCAAAGCGCCGGGCCTGTCAGAATGTCCCCTTTTGTGACCTCTTCACACCTTGGGAGCTGTTAAAGTGCTCTCTGCTTCCGGACAGACGCAGGAGATGTCCTTGCTTCTTCCTTTTGTGGTAACCAGGGGTAACTAACATTTCCTAGCGTTCTTCGCTACAGTTTGGGAATTTTGAAGAATAAATGCAGCAAATAGGGGAGTTTATTTTTCTGAAAGTCCAACAGATCAATCAGTTATGCCAATCTTTTGGGTTTTTCCTGGAGTATCCATGTAGCAACTTGCAAGAGTGCTGCTACGTCCCGAGCAGAGCCCTGCGTGGCTGTGTCCTCTGTTTCTCACCGAGCTTTTTGTACTGTTTGCTGATACTAAACATTTCTCACTGTTTCTCTTACCTTTAACAAATTACTCTCTCTTTGTGCTTCAGGGAAGATGGTGAAAAAAGTCTGTCCTTGCAACCAGCTCTGTAGTAATTATCTTATTTCTGTTATCTCCGATTCCTGATTGTAAAGCTTCTCATCAGCTTTTCCTGGTCGCTGAAGCCTTGCCTCCCTGGCTCTGTCTCCAGCACAGCATCTGTCTGTCTCTGTTATGCCCTCTCATGTGTGCTCCTTCGTTAGCGTAGTTAACAGCCTGGCTACTCCTGCTGCAGACTAGTGGGGGCAAGGAGCAGCTTGCCTTGGCTCTGCAGCCCTTTGCTCTTTGCTAATGGCAGTGGCCTGAGCACTAAGGGACAGTTGCTCGCTGTAACGTGCTAAAGTTGTGCCTTTGAGCAGCTGCTCTGTTCACAGATCTGCCTGGGTTTGCCAGCTCTGTCACAGACCCAATCGCAGAGACTCCTTCAACATCTCAAAAGCGAAAGAGTGAGCCGCCGGAGAGCTCAAAGGTGTCTCCCAAAGCAAGAAATGCTGAGAAATGCCTGTGTGTGGTTGTAATTTAAGATCGTTTTGTAGGTGCCTTTTGTCTGTTGGCTTATGGTGGGGGGGAAAAACGAGAGGGCAGAATGGAGGTACTGCAGGTAGCAGGCTGAAGAGAGAAGCCTGTTTTGTTTCGCACCCTTC